ATTTGGTTCCTCGATTTAAAAGTCAACACATCGTTAATTTAAGCAAAAATAAGCTATCAGCAGCTCAATTCTTTTCGGAACTGGTGTGCATGGGAATTTGACCCCAAAAGCGGTACAAATGGTGCATTCTCACTGCCGCGGCACTGGCCATCGTAGCGCGAGCCGCCTTCCCACTCTTCGACGCCCCTGCCGTGCTGAACATCCTGCCACAAACGTCCGATGTCGACCCGCCCGGTCCGGTCCCGGTCCGAGCGGAACTAGCGTGGCACTTGTTTCTACTAGCTTCTTGTGACTACTAGTAAGGCACTTGTTACTACTAGCGTGGCACTTGTTACTAATAGCTTCTTGTTACTACTAGTAAGGCACTTGTTACTACTAGCGTGGCACTTGTTACTAATAGCTTCTTGTTACTACTAGTAAGGCACTTGTTACTACTAGCGTGGCACTTGTTTCTACTAGCTTCTTGTTACTACTAGTAAGGCACTTGTTACTAGTAGCGTGGCACTTGTTTCTACTAGCTTCTTGTTACTACTAGTAAGGCACTTGTTACTAGTAGCGTGGCACTTGTTTCTACTAGCTTCTTGTTACTACTAGTAAGGCACTTGTTACTACTAGCGTGGCACTTGTTTCTACTAGCTTCTTGTTACTACTAGTAAGGCACCTGTTCCTAGTAGCGTGGCACTTGTTTCTACTAGCTTCTTGTTACTACTAGTAAGGCACCTGTTCCTAGTAGCGTGGCACTTGTTACTAGTAGCTTCTTGTTACTACTAGTAAGTCCAATCATTCTTTCAGCTAGTTCTTGTTTCACCGTCCGCGCACTCTTTTTCGACGTCGGGATCTTCGGACGCAGCCACGACCTTCCAAGAATCGACGAACAAACAAATATCGGATATGACCTTCTAGCCGGACTTGAGTGCATTTCTTGAACAGTGATGAATCACCTTGAACTACATCCAATTTACTTGCTTCCCAGTCGAGTTGACCGAAAATGAACGCCACATGCCTTTGACATGCCAAGCTAAGTTCCCCTTAAACATCTAGGAACCAAATGATTAGTGCGAGCGCTACTTGGAACTCTTTGAGGCACCCCGCGTCTTTCTCTGGGCGCAAGAGAATCACTGAGCACCTGAGAATCACAGTGCATTTGATTTACATTTAAAAACATGGTCAAAGACCGGACAAAATGAAACACTCGAAGGAAAATCGGTGATGAACATGAGGATCCACACTTGAAGCCTCACCATCTGTTGTCGTTTCGATGTTTGAAAAGGCTATGGACACCTCCACTTCGGTGAGCTCGCCACTTCGGTGAGCAGCCCAAAGCTAGCTGCCCAAGCCTTGTGTCACAGGGCGAAGGATACGGAAGTCCTTACGCTACTAGGAACAAGTGCATCGCTACTAGTAACAAGTGCCTTACTAGTAGTAACAAGTGCATCGCTATTAGAAACAAGTGCCTTGCTAGTAGTAACAAGATGAATTTAATTAGAATTGTAATTAGAAAGAAAAGGAATCTACTAGGACCTTTTTGCGCGCGCGCGCGCGGCGCGGGGGGGGGGGGGGTTGGAAGCTACTAGGAACAAGTGCCACGCTACTAGGATACGGAAGTCCCTCTGATTTGATTGGTTCGATTTCTGTAGCAAGGTCGCTACTAGGAGCAAAGGGCATCGCATCTAGGAGAAAGGACGCTGTCATTTGCGCTTTCCTTTGCATCTTCACCAACTCGATCCCGGTCACCCAGCACTGAGCTCTAGGCTCCCCATCAAACCTCAGTTTAGGCGCCGTGGTCGAAACTCCGTGGCTGCACACCACACAGACACAGCTCCTTAGGTACCCACACTTGCAACTCCTCCTTTTCCTTTTTGTACTCAATCATTTTTCTGACATTTTCTTTAGAAACCTTCTAAATGTTCTTTCCTTTCTATTCCTTTTTCCTACTCACGAAGTTTCCACTTTGCCACCCGACCTATCTTCACGTGCGAAGAGTAGCCGGTCGCTGTCGACGATGCGCATGCACCGCCAGGCCTCAGGTCGAAGCGGCTTGTCGTTTTGAAAAGGAAAGAAAGAAAGGTGTACAAAGAAATATGTAAATATGTTTTGATGGAAAGAAACAAAATGAAGAAACAGGAATTTGTTGAAATGTTTGAAGAGGTCATCTTTGCAGTAGCAGAAACGGCCAGGAGGTCTTCTCCCAACCTCTGCCGCTCGAAAGCACCTGTAGTACTGTAGTAGCGATGGCCTCCACCCTAGTAGCTTCTAGCTGCTAGCTAGAGCTTCTTGAATGGCCTCCGACCCAGTAGCGATGGCCTCCAACCTAGGAATAGTTAGCCACTTGAAGCTCACAACCCAACTGCAGCGAAGTGACAGTCTGAAAGCCCTCGCTGTTGACGTCGAAAACACCCCCCTGGAAAGAAAACTTGGCGAAAGAAGCACCCCGTGGACAGTGAGGCCAGCCCCTCGCTTTGCTCGATGGTGGGATAAAGTGAAATATAGCTGGGAGCTTTGGAGAATCCATCACACCCGACATAGCTACTAGTAACAAGAAGCTACCTAGTAGCTCTTGGCATCGCTACTAGGAGCAAGGCCGCTATTAGTGGCTTCTGGCCTTACTACTAGGAACAAGAAACTATTAGTAGCTATATAATGCTAATACTTGGCCAAGTTGACCAACAACTGAGGATCCTTTACAGAACTTGGCCTACCAGTCTCATACATTTAAGCATGCACTGCGCATAAACTGACTTGTGAGGAAGTTATTGCAAAGCTACAAGTGTCAAGTAATTGTTCAAATCCAACCTATGTCACATAATCTAATCATTTCAAACCTTTCTCTCTCTTCTTCCCTTTCACAAGCCAAGCAGACTCGGTCACCTTCCCCGGAGTGAAGTCTGCCGCTTTGGCACACCATGCGAAGTGCTCCGAGGAGATGGTCTTTCGCATGGCCTCGCTGCAAGGGTGCATCCGCTGCTCCGTGCCCACACCACGGCGGTGATCCTCCTTCAACGTGGCCACCTGGACGGCACAAATGGCTAAGGTGAGGAACTTTTCAGTCACAACTCTTAGATTCTCAAACCTACTAGCAATGGCCTCCAACCTAGTAGCAATGGCCTCCAACCTACTTGGCCTCCAAAACAGTAGCCTAGTAGCGATGCCCTCCAACCTACTAGCGATGGCCTCCAACCTAGTAGCGATGGCCTCCAACCTACTGGCAGTGGCCTCCAACCTAATAGCGATGGCCTCCAACCTAGTAGCGATGGTCTCCAACCTACTAGCGATGGCCTCCAACCAAATAGCAATGGCCTCCAACCCAATAGCAGTGGCCTCCAACCTACTAGCGGTGGCCTCCAACACAATAGCAATGGCCTACAACCTACTAGGGATGGTCTCCAAACTACTGGGACTTACCACATTTGGATGATACTAGTCAGTCCTTTTGGCCTAACACCCTACATCCACTATTCCTGCAGCAGTTTCAAGAACAGGTCTCAGACATCCGCACGCACCACACGCCTGGCCATAGCAGCATGGCACCAGGCAAACGCGGCTGCGGCGGGCTTTTGCAAGAGCGAGGACGGCGTCAGCCAACAAACCGCAGGTGTGGAGGCCCAAAGCCAAATCAAAGTCCTGACGGCGGATTGGGATATGTTGAGATGGGAAATCACCCAATAAATAGTAGCGATGGCCTCCAACCTACTAGCGATGGGAAATGACCTAATAAATACATGATGATGACCTTTCTGATTAAAAGGAAAGACTGAAGCATCTTCTGGCATCCTCAAACTGCCTCTCAGTCTTCCTTCGTAACGTCCTGGTTGGTTGCCGCAAAGTCGTCCACCGTGCCGTGGAAGACATGACAGTTGGGGATACCGATGCTCCTTGGTCGAAAGGACTGGATGCCCAAAGGAGTGAGTTTCTTTTTTTCACAGAGAGTCCTCTACAGAGTTTCTACAGAAGAGGAAAAAACACAAGGATATTCTTGTTCCCCGCTTTTTCAAGTAGCCCATGGCCCTGCCTCCTTACTTAGTTAAGTAGGCGCCTACTTAATTCAGTAAGGGAGCAAACACGCTACTAGGAGCTACTAGTTGCTTGCTACTAGGGTCCTTGCTACTTGTTGCACCTTGTTCCTAGTTCCCGGTCCAAACAAGTCGTGACGCACCTCGATGGTTGGCCTGCCATGCCCTTGGAATCCAGCATACTTTACCAGTGTTTTGCCCCCCAAACCGGAGAAAAGTGTCAATGGCTTTGAGTCTTATGAACAATTGGTTTGAGAAGCTCTAAGTTTCTGCATGTTTCATCTGTGGTTGAGGTTTGTGCGTTGGGAGAACTGAGATTCCATTTCTGAGGCTCTCCACTCTGGCACGTGCCACTGTTGTACTGCCTGCCCGTGCCTGCGACCAATCGTGTGATCTTCAAGATTCTGGAGAAGCGAACAGGTGGACCAGAAGCTACTAGTAACAAGGATGCTTCTAGTAGCTCCTGGCATCGCTACTA